CCCAAAAATCAGTTAAAAATACAATTCTGCTGACACAAACCAAATTACAGCATGAATTCATGTAATCCACAGGCTCAGATAACAATGAAAAGCAGATTATATTTACTTTAATCTCAGCAACACACAACCTCAGCAACCTGTAAAAGGATTAAGCAGGAAGAGCTGCTAATGCAGAAGTGTAAAATTCTAATTGAACACCGAAAGAGGCAGATTGTGTTTATTAAAACGAGGGATGCAATTCCACAGGTCCATTTGTCACTGCTATCCCAAAACTGCTTCCCTGGATTCCAGGGAGAGCAATTTCCCAACTGAGAATATTTCTAAAGTGCTTTATTTTCCTCACCATTGTGTGGAAATGCCGTGATGAATTTTCATTCAAACTCTTGGCTCACTTTTTTTTTTTTTAATATATTTTTTTTTTTTTTTATTTTTAAAGTATAAATTATGTCTAACAAGAAACACACCAGGGATCTCTTCAATCCCCAAAGGCACTTTCTTAAAAGGAGAGAGAACAAAGGAGAAAACCTCCCAGCATGTGCTTTCCAAAGCAGCTTCTTAGGACAGTATCAAGAATGACAATACTTGAACATTAAGCTTTTCTTTTTCGTTCTTTGATCCGTGCTTAATTGAATTGATTATTGCAAACTGTGTAATGATTTCCAAAATGCTGGAGTGCAAGGAGAAGATCACAACAATCTAATAACCAATTTAAAGAGATGTAAGAAATATTGAAGGAAAGATTTAATCACTCAAGTATACTCCTTCCAATTAGAAAGAGCTTTAAATAGCTTACCTTGAGATAAATTAAGAGTCTGGCTGCAATTAGACAGGAATAGTAATTAAGATCAGGAAAATTCACATGTGCCTCAGCCTATGGAGTGAGGGAGAACCGTGCAGAAGAAGAAACTTTGCAGATACTTTTATTTCAGCAGCAGAAATGGGAAAAACCTTCCCCAGTACCCAGAAATTCAGGAACGTCACAAGGTTTCCATCTGCAAATTTAGGTTTGATCTTATCTGATTTTTGTGTTGTTTTTTTTTTTTCTTTCCCCCACAACAGAACAAATAATCCCAAATTGGGGCCAAAAAGGCTGAAATGCTTGTGGGTAAGGAAATACATTATGGGAAAGGCAATTTCATGATTAAAACTCCATGAAAAATTGTGGCAAAACTGCGGCAAGTGAGACTGACCACTGTTCTTCTGGAGGGAGCAAAAACTTTAATTTTCCTTTGGCAACAGCACCCATCATATCACATTCCCTAATTTCCACATGTGACATAACCCCGGGCTTCTCTGCACAGGAAGGCAACAAAGTTTTCAAAACTTACTCAAGTTCTTCTCACAAACTTTTTTCTGGCCAGGCAAAAAGAGTCCCTGCCCAAGTATTACAGCTGATTTTCGTTTTTTAAAGGTCACTAACTCTGAAATCAATCCCATTTGTTAATTAATCAGAGCAGAGCCATAAAAGGTTTTACCGAAGAAAATGAATAATAATTAAAGGAATTCACTGGTCGTTCTTCAAACAGCAGAGTCTTAACCACAAACCCTCCCTGAGCCACCTTTCAACTCCCAGAAAAAAGAACTTAAAAGAACATTTTCTGGGGATTTACTCCTGTTTATAAAATCCCCGGTGTCCCCAGCCACGATGGCAGAGTTTTCCATGAGCCACATTTTTCTGAGCCACATTTTCCAGCTGCTGCAGCACCTGAGAACCTGGAGAGCTGCGGGGTGACAGCCCCAAGCCCGAGCAGATTTTGTGCCCCCTCCCCTTCC